CATGGCAACCCTAATTTGAGCTAGCGCTGCCTAGCCAGCTCCCTACCACCATCGCCCCCGCCCACTCTTTGCCGGTAATTTGTACAAAAAAATGAAAGTAGACAAAAGGAAATGCTAAATTTAGCTACAACACCCGAGGTACGCGTAGCACGTTAAAACGCAGCGAAGCTCAGCAACGGGAAAGAAACATTTGTGCCCACATTTCTATTCATTTGCTGATTGTTTTTGAATTCGAAATCGATTTGCATACACATCATTAATAATTTCAGATATTTATATACTTACGAAACAAATCCTTGCGCGCCAAATTCCTAGCACACAATACTGTAAGAGAGAAATGTTTTTTAGATTAATAATCATATTTACGGAGAGTTAATTTGCATTACTTACGCGTTATTCGTATCTTATGTGTACCATTGCGACGCGGATAATCCAGTTTATTCATAATTTCAGACTTAATATTGTTTTGTTTTTGCAATTGAATTTACATAGGTATATATATAAAAAATATATATAAATATATATAGTTGAATTATCTGTTATTTTCTTATAAAACAATTGGTCTGTCGGATAATCGTGTTGATCATTTTCGGGCATTAAATGTTGTTAATTTTGTTGTTGTTGGCAGCATAAATTAATTGAAGCGAAGTAAAAGGAAGAGGTAGAGAGAAATAGCAAATAAAAAAATAAAAAGGAACAGAAAACAAAAGTATCTCAATTTTCGTAGTTGTTGTTGCTGTTGTTGTTGGTATTGGTGTAGCAGCTGGTGCCGCTCTTGCTGTAGCCTTGAGGTTTGCTGCTACTGTTGCTGTTGCTGTTGCCGTTGTTGTTGCTGTTGCTGCTGCTGTTGCTATTGCAGTTGCAGTTTTGTGTCATTTTTTGCACAGAGAAATATTTATAATTCATGTGTTGTTGGTTGGCACTGCGAACGCAAACTGCAATAGAAATATGACAAAACTGATTATTTATGAGTTTCATAATTCAATTTATACGAATTAGTTTTTTTTTTCTTTTTTGTCTTTTATTAGTACACACGCATTTTGATAACTAAAACGTTCGTTCGTTAAGATAAGCACTTGCATTTGTGTGGGTGGTTTTCTGAGCTTTGAAAATGAATGAAGTCCCTGAGTATTAGTATTAGTGTATGTGTCATAATACAGACAGGGCGTGCAAAACTGTGCCGGCGGCGCACAGATAGACGACAGATAAAAGACACGGCGAAAAAAAAGTGAACGAAATCGGCTTTGGCAGGTAGCACACACAACTCACCAGAAACTGTTTTGCTTTTGCTGTTGTTGTTGTTGATGCTGCCTTAAAACCATTTTACACGCACATGTTACACACAAACACACTGACACACACACACACATACATAGATACACACTCATGTGAATACACGGGGCACAGCCGTTGCAGGCAGCGTGCAAGCAATTTACGAATGCTGACTTTTATTATTTCATAAATTGTATTAAATAATGCACATACTACGAACGCATTTGTATATATACAAAATACATATATACATACACTCATGTATTTCACTCGCCGTTTAATTAATTTGATTTTTTTCCAATGCGTTTGTATGGGTGCATACTATTTTGTTTGTGCCTGTGTGTGTGCGAGCTGGTGTGTGTCTTCCACAGAATTTGCAATATTGTAAACGCCCTGCCCACCACACACTTGTTAGTTATTATAAGATTTGCGTACATTCACGTACATCGAAGTAGGCATGTAGCTGCATTTAACTATGCACTACGTATTTAAGTGCAACAACATTTGCAACAAAAATATTCTTTCGCTTTTTTACGCACTGCTCTCGTTTTATACTTACGGAGAGACGGCGAGAGAGCAAATAATATACATATGTATGTATGTATGTATGAACGACAACTGAATACGAATGAAGCACGTTAGCTGTACACACCGTTGGATTTTAAAACAACTTCTTTAATTTCAATTAATATAACTACATTATTTTCATCACTTGTTCTATTTTGGCCCACGATTTCATTATTTTTATAACTATATAATGCTAATATCGCGCAGAAATCAGTTCTTGTTCAACGAGAAACGCCATTTTATGGTTCGTCCCAACACGTAGTGCTGTAAAACGATTTTGCTACACTGCTGACTACTTTTGTCAAACCGTCGTTATACAGCACTGAACAATTTGGCGGTGTTTGGGATTTCGTGTTTCAGCTTCTTTTGGTGACAAATATATACATAAATATTTGTGATAATAAAAATAAGAAAGTAGAATGTCAATTACACTTGATTTTGATTCTAAGCAATTGGATAATAAGAGGCCACTGCAACTGCATTACTTACCAGTTAAAATCGATGGCAATGGCGAATGTGCAAATGTGGATAAGTTTTTCAACAATTATACGCGGGAATCTACAGACTATGGTCCCGGCATGCTAACAAATTCACTAAGAGGTTATCCTCTAGTGGGTAAGCGTGAGTCAGTGCCCAAGGGTTTTAAAGGTGTTGTCTTACAAGAAACCGATCCGCATCAGGAGCAACGTCAATTGCGTCTCACCGGTACCTTTGAGAAGTTTACGTACTGGAACTATGACAAAGTACCCTCCAAAGGCGACGCATACCAGCAGGCATTAATCTTGTTAGACGTGGCCGATGCGGTAATTATACTATATCAAGTATTCGTACAATGACATATGGTACAAACATTTACATTTGTATACTCTTTTTAGCTGGCATCTCCCGTAAGCGAAGAGCAACTCGAAGAGGAGCTGAAACGTTATCAGCAGGCAAAGAAAGAAAACACATAGAGATTCGTGCGCTTACAGCGTTTAGTATAATATATATAGTATTCCAAAAGCTAATCAGATATTTTCACAATTCGTACTTTTTAGACTTATAATTTGTATAAAATATTCAAATATATAAATACGTATGTATGTTATGTTTATGTGGGGAGTAGGTTAGTGCACTTTTCGGCAGCCTTATTCATCCGCATCTTCGAAGCGCTCATCATCATCGTCCAGACTTAGATTTTGCATGCCACCTACTTCGCCACCGTTGCGTCCTAGTGTGTGTGCATCCTCAGCCATGTCCTGGTCATCGAAGGCCATTTCAACGCCACCTGCATCCTCCATCGGATCGCTATCAGAGTTGCTATCTGCAGAATCCGGGTGCAAGGCCTGGCAAGTGGTCATCGCATTGTACATGGTGTCCACAGTGTGAATATCGTCAGGTAGCAACCAGCACTCGGTTACTTCATCCAAATGCTGATCGACAGCATCCTCGAAATTATCGTCGTCGTCGTCGTCCTCATCATCCTGGTCGTGCTCATCACTGCCGTTGCCTTCGTCAACTTCGTTATTGGCAAGAGCAACAGCATTTCGACGCAGCTCATCCCCACCGCCCCCGTTCTGTCCATTGACTTCGGGAGATTGGCCCGTATAGACGCCCTCCCATTCTACTTTCCGGTCCAGCATAAAATAAATACATTTTCTAGGATTCGACGAAATTCCGTGCAGGCTAACTTGCTTCCATTCAATCGAAATCCCTTCAGCAAGATCAGCCGGCTGCCAAGACAGCGTGCTTCATGGAAAAACAAAAGCGAAAAAAAACAATTACTATATATTTCGTGTGTGCAGAAAAAATTTTGCACTTACTTTTGTGAAATGTATATTGTGCCGTCACCAACAATTTTATCTCCAAGTTTAAGCTTGATATTATTAGCGGTATACAAGAGACCGTGCTCAGGTGGGCTAATAGGCATTATTAATACCATTTTAATAGAAAATTATCAAAAAAGACACGATAATAAACAGAATTGCGGTATGTCTGGCAGCGGCAAACTCGACCAGTGTTGCTAAACGTGAACTCTTTTTAATGGCAACAATTGCAACTAAATCAAAAATAAAGCAATAATAATTATATATATTTATTTATATAACTATAATATTCTATTTTAATATCTATAATATTATAGGATAGGATTACACAAGATTCTTTAAAATTAATTACAATGACAAGTTTTTGACGTTTGTTCACACTCACACATTTATTTTGGCGAAACATAGCAACTCTGGAATTTCAATTCACAGCGGTTGGTTGAGAGCGTCTAGTAATTTTTTCCGAAAAATTATATACACGGTTAAACAGTGAATTAATAACATGGAAAGTGCAGGGTATAATAGATTTGGTATACCTTATTGAATATACAATAGAAAGCCGATATTTTAAATATATGGATAAAGCTACGCATTACAAGGACTAGTGGTTATTTCGCACTTTCTTTTGTTGTTGTTTTTGTCGTCGTCGTCGTCATCGTTGTTGTTGGTGTTCGTGTTCCTGTGTTAAGTGGTCTATAGCAGCAGCTGCAATTCAAAATTATATTCGATTGAAAGAGAACACGCCTTACCGTCAACAATGGACATGGAGTACGTGAATATCAACCAATTTAATGACCTTGAGCTCGCGTCGCGCATGCGCACCTGTAACTATGAGAAATACAAATCTCTCGTTCGTATGCATCTCTCATTCGAGCTCGAGCTGAACACTGATGAGTAAGTTAATTGTGATTAATGAGTGTGCCTCTTTACTCATTCTCTCTGTGCGTCATTTGTAGATTTGATTTGGCCTGCCACGAAATTGTATATGAGGACAAAGGAAAGCTCAAGAAGTGGAATAGGCTGTCCAAGAAGCACAGATTGGGCCATGTTGGCAACGCTGCAGGTGTTGCCACTGTGGCCGGCTGTGCCGCAGGCCATGGCAGCAAATCGGTGGGAAATAGTCCCACCGAATGCATCCAACAGCAAATTGATGCAGGCTTTCAAATGCATATGCTGGAACTAAAGGCATTTTTAATGCTGGAAAAGAGTAAGTACTGAAGCATCTGAAAATCTTATCAATTTATCGAAAATCATAAATCATTCCAGATATCACTCAGGAGGGTCTTTTTCGTAAAACAGGCGCAGTCTCGCGTCAAAATGAGTTGCGTTTGCACATTCAACAGGACAAGCCATTGGAACTGGAGCAAACTGGGTTCTCGGCGCACGATTGTGCAACCGTATTCAAAAGCTTTTTGGCCGAGCTACCCGAACCTTTGCTAACGGATGCTCACTATCCAGCACATCTGCAAATTGCGCCTCTCTGTCAAGCGCTCACAGAGAAGACACAGGCATCCTTGGAAAGGCAGCAGCATTTGCTTCATTCGGTCCAGTTGTTGATTCTGCTGCTGCCGGATGAGCATCGCGAACTGCTGCAGCACATTATTGAAATGCTGCACGCTGTTGCACAACATGAGGATAGCAATAAGATGTCCGCCGAGAATCTGGCCACAGTATTCACGCCACATCTAATATGTCCACGTAACCTGCCTCCAGAAGTGTTGCACTATACAGCAAAGCGAATGTCCAGTATTATTGCTTACATGATTACCCGAAACATGGATATCTTCGCTGTGCCCGCCAAGCTGGCAACCGATATTCGGGCGTACTTTCTTGAACGCAAACGCAAGAAAACAATGTCGCCGGAGCAAACGCTTGACGAATCAATCTCGGACATCTCAACGGTCAACACGGTGTACACTTTTGTAGATCGTGCCGCCACTGCAGCAGCAACAAACACAAATAACACGGATACAGAGTTGGCCCAATTATACGCTCACATTCAAAGTCTACCCGAATCGTCAAAGAAACGTCGCTTAATCAAACAGTTTAACAAACAAAATGGACAGGGTATAGACTTCAATATATTCAATATATATTATATATAATTGTAATGCTTTAATTTATTTGTTACTCTCTTCAGGTACTCCATTGCAATTGGTCGTTATGAATCGTCTAAAGAACAATGAGGCAACTCGTAGCGCCAAGTCCTTGAGTGACTCGATTAAGAAACACATATTCCATAAGAGTCTCATGTCACGTACTCCAAAACGTGCACCTGGTTTGCAGCCCTTGCGCGGATCTGAGGTGGGTGATGGCTGTCGGGTTGGTGTTTATTTTATATGTCCATGCGCTTCAATTCATGCTTAAATATTTGTGTTAACTGCATGAATTATGTTTCTTCACAAATGTATTTCATTTATTCGTTTTGTGCACTAATCGCATGTATAATTGTTTCTCGCTCAGACGCCCAATCTAACGCATGCCAAAACTCCAAAGTTGCGTGTGCTGTTCCAAAGTCCAACGCCCGCGATGCAATTACCCACATCGGGACTCGGCACTAAACCATCATCATCAACCTCATCGGCATCATCATGTGGCTCTAACGCAATGCACTCTCTTCACAAGTCCATCTCATCCACATCCCTGAAAATTGAATCATCCTCGGATAGTAGCAGCTGTGGCGCTAATAGCAGCCACTCAGCTCCTGTGAGCCGGCAGCAATCGCATGAGCTGGCCACGGGATCAGCTGCTGGGCCGGAGCTAGACGAGATCGACGCAACGTGCTGTGTGACGCCGGCGAAGATTATCTCGGCTGTGGCCCAGCAGCTGATCGGTGGGGCCGATAAGAAGACCGTGGCATGGAATGATCGCCGTTTGCTGGAGATCGAAGAGTACTCGAATCCCTGCACACCGGTGCAGCAATCGTCGCGATACAAGTCCGAGCCTAATTTGTGTAGTCTGCGGCCACAGGTGCATGACGATGGCGAGTGCGACGGCGATGCGGAATCAGCGCTGACGCCCATTGTGGAGGTGTCTGCAACCACAACTGCCAGCAGCGGCATGGGCAAGTCGATAACGCGCAAGCTGATGAAGGGTGTCAGCATGGGTAACCTGCGCTTTCCATTCAGCACGCCGGAGACAACAAAACGCTTGGTGCGCAGTGTCTCAGCAACACTCAAGCGACGTCCCAGCAGCAGCGACGATGCTAAGCACATTGGCTCCCATACGCCGACTGCTGATGCACCGCTACTGGAGGATGTGGACGATAGCGATCTCGAGGATGAAGATGGCGATGGTGATGATGACACCTTGTCCGAGATAAATGGCAGTTCCAATGAGCTGCCCGGTGGCCTGGGCATGGCAGTTGATGTCAGCTACCATCAACAGCTGCTGCAGAGCAGTGTTTATCGTAATCTGGATCTTATAACAAGCACGCCAGCATTGCGTATGGCACGTCGTTCCATGTCACCCATAACCAAATCCACGCAGCGCATGCCCAAAGCCATGCAGGTAAGTGACGCATGATTGCTTAGCTTTCATTACTTTGCATGACAAACGATAATCCTGTCATGAAATGTCACTAAACGTTGATCACTTGCAGGAATCCATTATGACGCCGCGTTCCCGCAAGCCTGTGATGCTGTTGACTGCATTGGGCAATGGCGACAAGCAACAGAACCAGAGCTGCTTTCTCGACCAGCAGCAGCAGCAGCAGGACGATGAGGTGCTCCTGCCCAGCAAACAGTTGGAGCCGCCTGTGTTGCACAGCGAAGATGCAACTTCCCTAGGCGGCTATGCGGACATACTGAGACGCCAGCAAAGCCTAATAATCCAAAGGCAGCGCACGAGCAGCAGCAGCAATAGCAACAGCAATGACTTGGAGCTGGAGCCCTCGATGGCGGGAAAGCCGCACAATGCGTTATCTAGCGATTTCAAGTGGGTTTTCTATTTGTGATAACTACCTATATTATATAATAATTGTGATAATCCTATTAAACTCTAGAGAGTATTTGCTTACGCGCAGTGTCTTGACGGCGAGTCCAGCGGATTCATCCTTTGCCAGCCGTTCAGATGATTTTGGTGGTGCCAACACCACACAGGACATCGAGGACATTGAGGATTTCGAAGAGTCAGAGCTGAGTCCCAGCTTGTTGTATTGCTTGGATGGCAACGAACCGGCAATCGCTTCACCTCTCTGTAGCTTAAATATCGGACGTAAGCGTTCGGCGGGCTCGCCACTGAAGACCCCGCTCGTTCATGATGATCCGAACAATAAGGAAAACCTTTCAAGTGAACATTTACTAACGAAGAAACTGCTAATTACTTCTACAGCGGAGTATCCAGGCGAAACGGCACTTTAGCTTTAAGTGTTTCACACATTTGAACGTTAAAACCGTTGCACGGTTTTAAAAAACTGTCTTATCAAAAATATATATATGTTGCTTCCTTCATATTGTTTTCGAAAACAAACCGAGCTGTTCCAATAGGACAGCATTTTAAGTATAAGAAAAACGCTTTCGCTTTGTAATTGACCGCGTTTTCACCGTAATTAAATAGTTTAACTTTAGACATTATAAATGCATGCCCCATTATTATTCACAATATGTAAGAATACAATTTATATTCATTTAATAAAAATATTTTATTAACGTACCAAATTAATTGTTAATCTGTTTTTTAATCTGATAATAATTTGGAAAGCAAATTTTCTATTTCAAACATTTAGAACGCTCTTCATTTGCTTAACGAGCCTCTATTTCGTTAACATAAGGGTTAAAGTGAAATATAAATTCCGATATATCGATATTTTATCGACGGCAGCGTGTGTATTTTACAGCACTAGAAGAAACAGCTGATTAATGTTGACAGCCGCTACGAATCAGAAAACAACATTCTTAGAAGACAAAACAAACAGTATTTTAGGAAATTTGTTCAGAAAAATAATTAGACTGCAACATGGGCACCTGGATACTTGAGGTGGCTAAAATGGGCATGTACCTGACATTTCCCGTTGCCTTGTTTCACATCTTCAACCAGCCGGAGTACTTCGAAGAATGGGTGACCAAAAAGAAGCGCGAGCTCTACCCACCGGAAGGCAAGAATCATCACGAGGAACTGCAGCGTGCCATACGTGAGCACCACCAGAAGCACGATGAAGCTATGATGCGTGCAATGGAGGAGGCGGAGCGCAGGAAGTAAAGTGCTGCGTTTTTGTGTGCGAAGAATGTTTTTGTATTTATCAAGTGTGTTGTTATATAAGACAAGTGGCATACTGGGCGAGAGGTGTGGAAATGCCTTGCAGCCGAGTCAATATTGAACTTGTTTTGCGACATAGTCATAATATAAAGTACTTTTAATTGATTAAAAAACAAAATAATTCTTATTTGCTGTGTTGTATTTCAGGGTAATTTATTGGGAGCCCAAACTTGAAGTATTCAATGGTTCGTTATCAGCGGCAATTGTACTATGATTACATGACGCCGCGGTAAACAATCCACTTATCAATGAAGCACGGCATTGCTGCAACACGCCAGAGCTGGCCACGACAACGGTCCACTCCATTCCGCTGCTGACGCATAACAGCCAGCGTCGCTTTACCCAATTCCACTAACTGATGACCGTCAGTTGACCGATGCGCCGGTGCCACTTGTTTTGTTCATTGCTGCGCACGACGTACTCGACCGGCTCTCGAGATTATAAATGAATCTAAGCTATGTTAACGCTAGCCAACTGTATTTCAGGGGCTGCTGTTATCTCATTTTCACACGGTCTTTACCTGTATTGCTGGGCAGTTACAATACCACATTTAATTAGGTAACGCTTTAAACTCAGTGTAATGGCTCTGCTCATGCCTCAGTCAGCGTCAGCTGCACTAGATTTATCAGTTTCCGCTACTGTTGAGAGGAGGGCGAACAGGCGCTGGCGGAGGAGTTGGACGGCTATCGGCAGCAGCGAAACGGAAGGGCCTCATCCAATGATACCAATTGTCAAGCCAAGTAACGGTTGTTCACTGCCATTCAGTCAAATTCGAATCGTTATAGCGAACAGAACAGATCTAGAAATGGCACAGCCGAAAGTTTTGCCTCAATATATAGCCGGACTATCGGCTGCGTTTGGCGCCTTCTGTATGGGCGCCAGCATGGGCTGGTCATCGCCCGTGGAGAAACTATTGACGGAAAAAAATGCATACGGGTTCCCAATATCCGGCGATCAATTCGGTTGGATCTCTTCACTCCTAACCCTGGGCGCCACCGTCGTATGCATTCCAGTCGGCTTTGTCATCGACATGATCGGCCGCAGGCCAACCATGTTGGCTCTGATACCACCGTACATGGTTGGCTGGTTCCTGATGCTGTTTGCCAACAGTGTGATAATGCTGTACTTTGGCCGTTTCATCTTGGGTTTTTGCGGCGGCGCATTCTGCGTCTGCGCCTCAATGTACAGCACGGAAATCTCGACGGTTTCCACGCGCGGAACTCTCGGCAGTTTCTTTCAACTGAATACCGTGTCGGGCATGCTGTACGGCTATATTATCGGTGGCTATTGTTCGTTGCTGACCACCAATATACTGTGCGCCATATTGCCCCTAATCTTTGCTGCCGTGCATTACTTTATGCCCGAGTCTCCGGTGTACTTTGCCATGAAGGGACGCGAGGACGATGCCATCAAGTCTCTGCTTTGGCTGCGTGGCGCCGACTGCGATATTCGCAATGAGCTCAACGAAATTCTGGAGGAGACCAACAAGAGCACGGATGAACCCAAGGTCAGCATCTGGGTCGCTCTGCGGCGACCCATTACGCTCAAGGGCATCTCCATTGCCGTAATGCTGCAGACCCTGCAGCAGTGGACAGGCATCAATGCCATCATGTTCTATTCCACGTCCATTTTCGAGGATGTTGGTGCTTCGCTGACGGGACGCGTGTGCACCATTCTGATTGGAGCCACGCAGGTGATAATGACCCTGGTGGCGGCGATGATCATCGACAAGGCTGGCCGACGGATGCTGCTGCTAATCTCTGCCTTCTTCATGGCCATCACCACCTGCCTGATGGGCGTCTATTTCCAAATGCGAGACAACGACCCGAGCTCAGTGACATCCATCGGCTGGCTGCCCATCACCAGCATTCTCGTCTTCATCGTCTTCTTCTCCATTGGCTTCGGTCCGGGCCCCTGGCTCGTCATGGCCGAGCTCTTCACTGAGGATGTGAAGAGCGTGGCCGGCTCCATTGCCGGCACCAGCAACTGGTTCTCCGCTTTTCTGGTCACTAAACTCTTTCCCGTATTGAAGGACAGCATTGGATCGGGACCCACATTTTGGATATTCTGCGGCATCGCTGTCTTCGGCTTTGTCTACATCTTGATCTTTGTGCCAGAGACCAAGGGCAAAACTATTAACGAAATTCAACTCATTCTATCAGGCAGCAAGAAAACCATCGACTCTGAGACGAACAACGACTCGCAGAAGATCAAGAATTAAAACTAGGGTTATCCTTGCCCACATTTACATATTATATGTCTAGGTCTAGCTGTAGTCTCTACGAATAAGTATAAAGTACCTTTTTGTATATCAAAATCTTTGGGATTCGCAAATTAATGGATTGTGTTTGGGTTCAATTTTAAATTCATCTATGTATGGGAGAGAGTTTTGTATATCTACATACTGGCTAAAGTACATGAATTTAGGGAATGTTTGGCATACAGAAAACTTTTCGAGATGAAAATATTTAACTATATGCATTTGAACTTTCAGGTCTGTAATGTTTTATAGTTTCCGATTTAGGTTGACAGTGAGTGATTTAGTCGTGGAAGTATGCGCAGATTATAGTCTACCTATGCAGCTTGTAAATATTCCAACTATCAAACAATGTTGCTAGGAATAAATATTCCCAGTTTAGATAAGATAAGGAATGGATGTTGCAAATATAATTCGAAGAATCATATTTCAAACTGACTGGGGTGTGCAGGAAAACTCAAGAACTAGAATATATTTCAAGCTTTATCAGGCAATAGTTTTGTGCACTCTAAATTTCCACTGTCAGTGTTAGAATCTAGTATTAGTTATTAATTATAATAATTGATTAAATAATGCTCCAGTTGCCTGCAAATTTGTACATTTTGCAATTGTTTATTAATT